GGTCTTTTCTCATTACATGTCCAAAGTGTGTGAGGCAAAGTCTTGCCATCCTTGCTGCAAAGAAGCATTCTGGGAGTACTTCTTCCCAAACAGATTTGTTTGTTCTTCTGGCAGCCCTTGGTAATTTCAGTATTCTTTACCAGTATCATAATTCAAATACATCAGTTCTTCTTGGCGTAGGTCCTCCTTATTCATTGTAAAGCGTTCACGTGCATATAAGAGGATTAAAAACAGCATGGCTTGGGTCAAGGGCACTTTAGTTCTCGAGGTGATAGCTTCGCTTTCTTATCTAATACTTGAAAGAGGCCTTTTTTTTTTAAGGCTATTTTCCACATCCAACATACATCATCCATTTTCTTGCCTGCTGTTTCTATGAGCATTGACTGTAGATCTAAGTAAAATGAAAACCTTGACAATTTCAACTTACAAATATAGAGTATAGTTTTCCAAATTGGAATTAATCTGAAGATAAATGACAAAGGAATGGTATCAAGCATAGATGTTTGCAGGAGTTTAAGGAATTGATCCTTGGAGTCTGGGGGTATCAATGAAGGCTTGCTTGCTTTGGAGGGATGTGAGTTATTAGGTCCTAAGAATGGATTAGAGAAGAAGAATTTAAACAAGAACAGTCCCAGCACTGGCGAAGGCCTTGTCATAGTACAGTGTAAAGTATATTTGTCAGACTATGCTTTAACCAAGTAACAATGGCCACGTAATGTGATTGCACTTTTTTTTGGGGGGGTGGGAAATTCTAAAAGTGATTTTGAGGATCTAAGAACCATGATGGTGTAGGGGTTATGAATTGTCCTGCTAACTGCAAGGTCAGCAGTTTGAAATCCCCAGCAGCTCTTCCAGAGAAAGACAAGTCTTTCTCCTCCCACAAAAAGTTAAGAGTCACCGTCTCGGAAACCCATAGAGGCAGTTCTACCCTGTCCCCTAGGGCCATGAGTTGGCATGGACTCAATGGCAGTGAGTTGAGTAGAAGGGGAGTGGGGCTTGAATACCATGAACCCCACCTCAAAGTAAATGAACTCACTGAAGATTTTTCCATAGTGCAATGGAAAGATGGAAGTGGTATAAAGAGTCAGCGAAGGGGCTAAGGAAGAAAACAGTGTTGGTGTTCATGGCAGTCTATTTGATGCTGACTCAGAAAATCCATGTGTGCAGAGTAGAACTCTACTCCATCAGGTTTTTATGGCTGGGACCTTCATGTGGCACCTCCTTGGGGTTGTGGCCCTTTGTATAAGAGGGAGACATAGACTAGTGCTGAGTGATCTTGCCCACAGGATCTGAATCCTGCATCTGGCTTGTTGATAGGGCTGTTCTGTTGTCTGCCGATCCAATCCCAGGAGTCATTAGCATACTGCTGAACTCAGGTTCATTTGGCCAACTCTGGATTCATTTCCCTCTGGATCCACCAGCCTTTGGTCCCCCTGCTTCTTGATCCTGCTTCCTGTTCACCAGCTTCCACAGCTACATGTGTCAGGAGACGTTTCCAGTTTACATCTGTCATACAGACTCAAGCTGAACTGTACTTACCTAATTCTACAACTGTGCAAGCCATTTCTTGATATAAATCTGTGTAAGCTATTTCTTGATATAAATCTCTCTCTGTATACATGCACATACAAACAACACTGGGATTGCTTCTGTATAAAACCCAACCCAACACGTGGCTGTTTCAGTCATTTCTATCACACTCCTTTCTACCCTTTTGCAGCTATTGAAAGATCAAGTAAGTTTGTTCTGGCCAGTGAGATGGGGGGGAAAAACTGCTTTGGGAAAAGAACTGTTATCACATCCTTCCAGACTGTCTTTTCAGCAAAAGGCCTAAAATTCAGGAAGTTGGTTGGCAAATTTAAATATACCATATATACTCTACTATAAACTGACCCGAATATCAGCCAAGGCACCTCATTTTACCACAAGAACTGCATAAAACATGTGCAGAAAAACTTGGCTTATACATGAGTATATACAGTACTGTGATATCAAAGCACCTAAGATTGCTACAGAAGGGGAAATTAACAAGTACAGGATGGAGGTATAATTCAGAATGCATAATCATCTTTCTTTTCATTGTTTTCCTCTGACCACTATTTTATGGAAAACAAATGTTACAAAGCAAAATGGAATGTTTTCCTCTGAAAGTTTTTAAAGCGTCTCATTTGTTTGTTTCATTTGAAGCTTGAAACAATAGCAATCAGCATTTTTCTATGTAGATTCTCAGGATGACAAATTCCTCAGAAGGTGGCTGTGTGGATTGAATTGAGTCCTTCAAAAATAGGTGTGATAAACCCTAACCCCTCTACCTATTCTTAGAATCCTATTTGGGACTAGGCTTTATTTGCGATGTCAAAAGGCCATTATGAACCCCAATCAAACCCACTGCCTTGAGTCAAATTCGACTCCTAACAACACACTAGGCCAGAGTCGAATGTTCTATAGGGTCTCTTTTTCAAAGAATGGAAGCAGTGTTCTATAGTGATTAGCTTTATGGACTTCAGATTCAAACAACCAGAGTACAAATCTCATTTCTATTGTTTAATAGTGGTGTGACTTTGAGCAAATGATTTAACCTTTCTAAACCTCAATTTCCACATCTCTGAAATGGACAACAGAGTGGTAAGCGATCTCGAGTGTTTGCTCAGAAAACTTAAATGATAACCTTCTTAGAGGACCTTGCCCAGGGCCTGGCATGTAGAACCCCTGCCCCCCCACCACCACCACCATCAATTTGTCATTATTGTATTGTTATTAAAATGGATTCTTCTTCTATATCTAAGCTGATGATAAACATGGAGGTCATTATTGTGATCTTTCCCTCCAACTTGGTCATTTGGAAGCAGTAACTTTGCACTGATAATTAACTCTCTATAGACCAACTTTCATACCCCAAAACGATTTCAAACCTGAGCTCCTATAGTCAAGCTGAAAAAACAAACAAACAAAAACCTCACTTGGAGACTCATTGGAAAAAAAAACAAACTCACCGCGGAACCCAGCAATAGAGAGCCTTCCATTTCTGTTTGTCTTCCAACCTTTTTCTTTCTCTCTTTTCTTTTTTTTTTTTTATGCTTCCCAACTTCACAAGCAAATCTATCCTAGAAGTAAGGCCAGAATGCTCCTTCAAAGGATGGCAAGGCTGCATCTTACTTATTTTGGGCAGATAGTCAGGAACGAGCAGTCCCTGAAGAAGGTCATCAGATTTGGGCAGCAAAAAAGAGAGCTAGCTTCAATGAAAAGGAGTTGACACCATGGCTGCAGCAATGGGCCAGGGATAGGAACCCCGGCGAGGAGGGCAGGGCTGGGCAGTGTTCCGTTCTGTTGTACATAAGGTTGCTATGGATCAGAACCAACTCAATGGCACCTCACAACAGCAAGAACACCTTCACTACCACGTGGGCTAATGTTCTTACATTTCCTCCTCTCCTTACCTGAGTATCAAATGAATGGACTTACAGTTAGTTACGTGCTTATGCTCTGTCCCAGGTCCCTGATTCCGTTAATATTGACTGCATCTCTGAGCAGTCCTTTAGATGTTGCATGCGACTCCTAGCACCCAGCCCCAGGATGTGACTCTCCCGAAGATCTGGCTTGGAACGTTTACACCACACATTGGATGTGCTACCTTGGTGAGATAGCTGAACTCCAAAAAGCCCCTTGGTTGAGAGATTGCTCAAGAAGGATTCATAAACCTGGTTGCAAAGGTTGAAACCTCTTTCCCAAAGACTCTCTTCCTGAAAGCTGCCGACAGAGCTTTTGGCAACAGATGATCATGTGTTTGGCGGATAAACTAAGCCTGGTTTTATATTTAACTCACTCTCGGGCGCCGGAGTGAGGGCGGGGATGGGTTGCTTATAAGGGGAGCTGTCACAGTATTCTCCTCAGTCCTCTCCCTCCCGCTCAGCTCCTCTTAAGGACTCCCTTTCCCACCCCCTCCCTTTGCATTCATCCTTGAGGGGGTGCAGGGGGAAACCTGAAGAGACAGGAAAAGCTCCCCCAAGCCCGCGAGCCAGCGGTGTGGAGAAAGCGAAAACAGACTGCCCGGAATCCTTCCAACTTAAAAAGGAAGTCGGCGGTCGTGACTTTAAATTTAACATCCTTGCAAGTGGGCGAGCTCGACTTGCAAAGCAAACATGAACTTTGCGGAGAGAGAAGACTCCAAGAGATACTGCATTCGAACCAAACACGTGGCCATCATCTGTGCGGTGGTGGTGGGCGTGGGGTTGATAGTGGGACTTGCCGTGGGCTTGACCAGGTCGTGCGAGTCCGGGGGAGACTCTCCTGCTCCTTCCCCCAGCCCCCCCACTGCCAAGCCTCCCCAGGACCAGGGAGCCTGCCCAGCCAGCGACGATGACAACGGAGGGTGGACCAGTTTCAGGTTGCCGGACTTCCTCCACCCTGTGCACTATGAGCTGGAGCTGAAGCCCCTCATGGAGGAGGACACCTACTCCGGCACCGTGACCATCTCCATCAACGTGACGGCGCCCACCCGCCACCTGTGGCTGCACCTCCGGGAGACACGCATCACGAAGCCCCCCGTGCTGAAGAAGCCCACCGGGGAGCAGGTGCCCGTCAGGCGGTGTTTTGAGTACAAAAAGCAGGAGTACGTGGTGGTGGAAGCAGCAGAGGAGCTCCCCAGCAGTGACTACCTCTTGACCTTGGAGTTCGCAGGCTGGCTGAACGGCTCCCTCGTGGGATTTTATAGAACAACATACGTGGAGAAAGGCGTAATCAAGTAAATATCAATGTTGCCCTAACTCTTTCCCAACTCACTCCTGGCTGCTCTCTGTTTCTTTCCCCTCCTTTCCATCTCCAACGTTTCATGAGTGTGTGGGCCTGATTTCTGTCTGTACTCGGTTTCAAATCTATTTATCTGGGAGGCTAAAGGGGGTGGGGGGAGGCTTGCTATACTGTGTTTTAGTTCGAGAGTAGTAAGCACTGAATCCAAAGTTAATGTAAGCCTTTCATTCCCATGGGAGCCGTAACGATACTCTCGATCTGTTTCTGCCTATTTAAGCAAACTGCTTCCGATTTCAAAAATACTCGTGTGAGCTGTTTCACAGTGGTAATATTCTTGGGCAATCTGGAGGTGATTTTAAATCGAACTTGCCCATGAGATTGCACTAGATTTAACTAAAAAGTTGACGAATGTCAACTATTTTGTCTGTTCCACGGGAGGAGAGACATTGAATTATTACACAAAATGCAAGGCCATCCATTAGTAATTGTATGCTGTACTCGTATCCACAAGAGGGCCTCAAAAGGTTCATGGGAAAATGACATCTTCTGATCTCATGTTCCATGAACTTTTTTTTTTTTAACTCCGTGAACATTTTTAAACACCACCACCATCACTATACATGTTTTTCTTTTGGGAAGGGGGGGCAGAGAGTCCCTGGTGGTAAAATGATTAAGGAACTCAGCTACTAGCAGGAAAATTGGAAAGACACCTTGAATGAAAGGCTTGACCATCGACTTCCCCAAAAGTCTCTGGAGCACCATGAGTCAGAACCTACTGGATGGCACATTTCCATTCAAGAATTGATTTTATCGACTGTGCAATGATTCATTGCATGGATGCATTATTAAGTTTTAAAACGAGTTCTCTAATGTTGGACATCTGAGTAAGTTACGTCCGGTATTTTATTATTACAGACAAGCAAGTATCGAGCGGAGTCCAGAAGTCTGTCTTTATGCTACTTCCTTGGGTTAGAATATTTTCCGACAAGTAGAATTGCACAAAGATATGAGTATATCAAGCTATATAGTTTATTATAACAATAATACACTTTAATTGTACAAGACAAAAATGTATGTGAAGAGTTAAAATGTATTCATAAACCTATCATCCCAATACAGACATTGTTACTTCCAGGTGGGTGCTCATCTAATATTTCATATGAAGAAACATGGCATTGTTATGCTGTACATATTATGGTGTAACATTCTTTTTCAATATATCATCAACACTTTACAACGTCACTTAATATTCTTCCAAAAATGTGGCAATGGATGTATCTACTATGTGACAAAAATACAATTTATTCAAATTTTACTTTAAATGTGGTCACTGTTTTTTGCTTAAACTAACCTCGCCCACACAGAAGGCGCACACCAGCCCGTGTGCTTCCAGGACTGTGTATACAATCCAAGACCAGAGGAGGAGATGGTGTTAGAGTTTAAATGCTGAGTACCTGGTTTGCAGAAGACAATGGATGACAGTGGAAGCCCAAAATCGATGTGCAGAGTCCCATGGGAATTAGGCCCCATTGAATCCCGTCAGACCATTAACCAGGGATGTGAATAGTGTTGCCCTCAGACAGAGTGTATCAAAAGGGAGTTAATGCAGATATAGTTAGGTTAAATTTTAACAGGTTATCATTTATTTTTCCTTTTGAACCATTTTTAATTTATTCTAGTTTTTATTATTTTCTGCTTCCTTTTGAATGGAAGATTTTCTGTGTTTTATTTTGTTATTGTTTTGGGGTGGTTTGTTTGCTTGTTTGTTTGTGTGATTTTCTTTATATAAAATCCAGGATAGGTAAATCTATAGAGGCAGTAACTAGAATAATGGTTTCTCAGGATTGTGGCAGAGGAGGCTGGAGAGAAATATGGAGTTAATAACATGAGTATGAAAATGAAGAAAATGTTCTAAAGTTGAGCAATTTATTGTGGTAATGATTGCACAACTCTCTTTAATATACTCAAACCTACTGAAAGGTTTTGTACATGAATCATATGACCACAAACCTGTTAAAAAACAAAAATACCTGTAAGAATTCAATGACAGCTTTACAAGTAATTATTTATAAGTATCTAATATTTTTATAGGAAAATGCTTTGGAAATTGACCCAAACTACACATTTGGCACATGAATATATATGACTATATGCATCATATACATATAAACATATAAAATCATTTATATGTCTCCAAGCTGATTTTCAAATAGACTGTCCATAATTGCATTCTGATCAATAGTCAATCAAAGTGCCATGAAGCTGGCTTCTTCTCACAGGAACCTGGTGTACAAAGGCACCTGGAACACTGCAAGGCCCTGCACCAGTCTCACTATTGATGAAATCTTTTTTTTGAAACATCTGCCAATTTTGTAGAGGAAAAGGCAGATTATTCTGAAGAATATTCATCTTAAGGCGATTCTACATGAAATGTACTCATGTAGAGTGAAAATGAGTCAAAACGTTCACATAATTAATTCAAATCTACTTGCTGGGTTGTAAAGGCAATACAAATTTCATCTGGAAAAACCTGGAGGAATGAATATTTTAGTAAAATTTCACACTTTATCTGATAAACCCATTGCCACTGAGTCTATTCCAACTCATAATGACCTTATAGGACAGAGTAGAACTGCTTCATGGAATTTCCAAGCTTCTCGATCTTCCCAGAAGCAAACTGCCACATCGATGTCCCTCAGATCCACTAGTGAGTTCGGACACCTGACCTTTTGTTTCACAGCCAAGCACTTCACCACTGCACCACCAGGGTTCCTTTAAACCCTATCCAACCAAATAACCAAGCCCATTGCCATCGAGTCGACTCTGACTCGTGTCTATCCTCATCTTTCCCCCACAGAGCAGTGGGTAGTATTGAACCACGAACCTTGCAGATTGAAGCCCAATTCCTAATCCACTGTGCTACCAGGTCTCATATAAATTATAGAATGGCCGAACTTGTGAAAAAAAAAAGCATAATAAATCTGTTATAGACTTTGTTTTTAAGTATTACATAGTGCTTTATATATTATTCCATCTGATTGGTGGATTTTCCTGAGCCGGTTAATTTTCCCACACAATACATACCCCAAATGAACACTCCAAAAATGAGACCCTGAGAACGCTGCCTTCAGAAAATGCAAAGTAACAAAGAATGGGCTGGGAAAGCAGGGCTCCTGTCCGTTCTCGTCCAGGTCGGTTCTCCCGAGCCCCCTGTTTTCATTGGCCAGGGTGAGGCTTTCTCAGTTACACAGCTCGCCTTTTGCTGCACACGTGGTTCTGGGACAGCTCTGGAACATGCTCAGTAACCTCACTGAGGTTAACCGGAATGCGTTTTTGTTTGTCTTGGTATGAGATATTCCGAGCACAGGAGAAGAGTGCATTATGCCGGTTTTCCAGGCTGTGAGTTATTACAATTTGACAAGGCAGGCCTCCAGGGCTCCTCCTTTGCAGGGTCAGTACAGGAACGGCACCAGTGAGCTCGCTAGGGGCAGGCCCATCCTTCCAGACTCTCTTGCGAACTTCCTACTATATGGCATTCATACAAGTAAAACGTTCTTGTGTAAAATGTTCTTGTGCTTTCAAATGTCCTCATAGCAATGCATTTTACAAGAGCCGCCCAAATGATATTTCTGCTTCGATATACAATTGTACTCTCGGAATGACTATTACCTGTATTACCTGTATGGAATAGTATAATTGCAACCACAGCATAAACCAAACATGATTGTCCTCAGTAGTAACCCAAATAATTTCATTTCTGCTAGCACAGCCAAGACTTGAACTTCAAAATTGAGAGGCAGAGGGGTGGGGAAGAAGGTGGAGCCAGTTTACAGTTGCCAAGCAGCAATATTCATTTTGTCACCTGGCTGATGGGTCTGGGAGGAAAGGGGTTGGGGGGAAAGCAACTCTTTTATTGATCCTTCTCTTCCTACTCCCTGATCCATGACTTAGGGTTGAAGGAAATGGCTCTAAAAGGAGAAGCTTTGGAATGATACCCTGCCAGACTACCCTCAATTCCCCCACCCTCTTCCTTCCCTATGATTCAAGAAGGGGTCCCACTTGTTCTCTCTCTAACCAGGACTCTGTTCTGCTCCAATCTGCCAAGCACATCATTTTCTTTTTCCTCTTCAAGTTCAGCATTTCTTCCTCATGATTTGATTTGTTCTTACACAGCACTTCCCAAAGGATGCTCCATGCAGCTTTAAGGC